GTGTAGGCTTGGTCCAGCTAGTTTTAGGCAGAGAAACCCCATTTTGTTGAAAAACCTTCATATTGCTCCTACATGTTTTTCTTCTGGGGGCCTCTCATTCTTGGGCCTCATATCCTTGCCTAAAATTCATGGAAAGCTAGTGATATCCTTTATCAAGGAACTGGAAGCAGGCCAACAGAGCCTTCCCCTTCGCTCCAAGGCAAAGCGAAAGCAGCTCCGCCATTGGCTGAGCCACAGCGACAACAACTAGACGCCACACGGGCTATTCCGGGCTGTGGGGCGACGAACTTCGCAGCGGGGCCGCAGTCTCCGCTCCTGCGTTCGCACGAGACGTTCCGGGCGCTGCTTGGAGGCCTCGGCGACTCGTGAGGACGCCGCCCGCCGCATTTTTCCTGGGTTTGGCTTCTCTTTCTCTTCCTTCATAGGAGGAAGCACCCCGGGGCTCAAAGCGGGGAGGGGGAATCTTCTTTCTTCTCGAGATTCTCAGCCATCCAGGTCCGGGGTTGTCCCAAAGTGGCTTTTTTCCCCTTTTTCCAGAGGCAGCTGGACTTTCTGGGTTGTTTTTTTCTTTGAAGACGTTTCGCTCCCCATCCAAGAAGCTTCTTCTGTTCTGACTGGATGGTGGGAGAGTGGAAGCCCCTCAGAGCCGAAGCAGCTTCTTGGATGAGGAGCAAGTCCAGTTCCCTCTTGGACAAAAAAAGCCCCTTTGGGTTCGCGACGTTGCTTTTCTCTCCCTCGAGGAAGGGAGCGAGCGAGAGGTTGGCTGGATCGGGTCCCCTGGGAATAAAACCTGGGCGCGGCTGTTGGCGAAGGAAAGCCTTCCTCGGGGCTGGGGGGGCAGAGCAGCTGACGGGGACCAGAGATGAAGGTCGGGAGGATCGGTCCCTCTGCTTTTCCCATCCTTCGCGGGTGATGAGGATGCTTGGGGACTGAGGGGCGTCCCGCTCGCAGGTGGGAACGGGACGCGGGAATCCTCTGCTCGAAAGCGGGCAGCTGGGGGGTGAAACGCAGCGGCTTCCGGAGGTTCAGGAACTGGAGCCGGGGCCGCCGGTCTAAGCCTCTCTGCTTCTCCTTCCCCTTCACTGGGAGCAGCCGGGGGAGACGCTATGAGCAGGAAACGACTCATCACCGATTCTTTCCAAGTGGTGAAAAAGGAAGGAGGCAGGGAAGAAAGAAAAGCGGCTCAGGCTCCGAGCCCACCGCAGGGTAAGCACTTCTGTGGGCTCCTTCCCCTGCTTTGGCCATTGGAATGGCTTGGTGGGGTGGATGGATTCCTCCACTTCTTTACTCTTTCCACCCATGGCAGAAAACAAGCACTAGTCTCCTCCTCAGCGGGTTCAATGGGTGGATTTGCAAGCAGGGCTAGAGCTCACAGAGCTGGAAAGTGCCTTAGAGGTCATCAAGACAACCCTTGCTCATTGTGAGCAAATCAATGGTTAGTAGGACTCCTCCATCCAACTCCCCAGTTCTTTCTACTTTCTTGATGTCACTGTAGGCAGAAGGGGAAACTGGCAATGCTTCTAACCCCAGCCTTTGCCAAGAGCCCAAAGAGATGTCTTCTAGCATTTGGCTTTCCCAACCCCATTTGGAGAGCTTCAACAAATCAGCCATGTTGCGGAATTCCAGTCCCAAAGTGGGAAGCCTGTCTGTCCTAGTTCATTTTTCTGTTCTTTTGTGCTGGACTCTGCTGGACAATGGACTCTGCATAGTGAACAATAATAATTAAAAGCACTTATATAATACAAAATTAAATATATATGGCAGCTGAGAAAATATATCATAGATGTCCATACAATCAGAAAACGGGCCACTTCGCACACTGGCCCAAGTATACATCCAGGTCTTTGGAGCCTTACTACAGGCCAACGGTGTCAGGCTCATCCTCAACTCTTAAGGAGAGACTATTCTGGAGGGCAGGGACTTTGGCAGAGGAGGGAACATCTCCTAGTCCCCACCAACTGACATTCCTTGGCTGAAAGGGCCTGTAGCAAATTACAACTCCAAGCTAGTTCTGTTATTAAAAATAGAACTGGAGAACAATGAGAAAGGGAGGAGATGATGAGTGACAGAAAGGAACATTCTTTTCATTAGAAAAAGAGAGCAAGGATCTTCTCCTGCAGTTACTCCAACATTCCCAGCAGCTTCTGTGGAAACCTAAATTCTTCTAGAATGTAGAGAGGATTAGGTCCTTGGCCACCTCTTGGATAGCTCCCCCCTCCCGAAAAAAATTGCCACGGGTACATAGTGGGGCAAGAAGAGTTCATGCCATTTTTGAAAACATATTTACCTGATTCTCTATTTTTGGTGGCCAAAAAAATGTCCTGGATGCTGCTTTGAGGGAAGTAAACCAGCTTAGATACGGATACATAAATAAAATCTGGAAAGTTATGAAGTTCCATCTCCCACCTGCTTTAGGAATGCCTAATAGGGACCCCCCATGATTACTAATAGTTTAATGTTACTAATGCAATTGAGATCTTATTTGGGAATTCTCCCCTTGCCCTATATGAAAGTTGGAAAATTCTGGGAATTGACAACCACACATCTTAAAGTTGCCAAATTTGAGAAACACCGATATAGATGGAAAGCTGCAAATAGCATGGCTGTTGCCATTTAGATTTTGGAATTAGCTACAGAGGAGATGGTAACACAATTGGTTAAGTGCCACCCTAAGCCCTCTATGCAAGGAAAAATACCAGCACTCCACCTATTTACACTAATGGGTTGGTTGCTTCTCAGACTTAGTTCAAGCAGAATCTCACTTACAAGATACTGCACAACCTGATCAGCTGGAAATACTGAAGCAGTTTGATCTCAACTGGCAATATGGTCCGTGCAGTGGTAAGCATGTCTAGTTATCTATTGAAACCAAGTCCAAATACATATTGTGAAAGAAGTAAATGTTTGCCTTTTCTTTGCTGTTGTTTCCTTCCTGCCAAATTTTGAAGTATAATCTCATTTTAACAGATACTTACATAAATGGTGTATATCATATTGTGTTGCAGATGCATTGGATATTTGCAATAGATCAGCAATTATTTTTCCCAGTTATTTCTTGATCCAGTACAACATTGATTTAATAGTTATTGGGGAGTGAAGTAAGTCAACTAAAACTAAATAGCGATTCATTCCAAATATACATATTTTATTATCTCCCCAAACCAAATAATTTTGTTAATAAAGTGTTATTATACAAATGCACTTGAATTGATGCAAATGATGTCTTTATGTTAGTTGTCCGGACTGCTATAGAAACAACAGACTAATATTTGGGGGTGAACAGCAACTAGAATTCTGTTGCATGCAAAATTTGCTGAATGGCGTTTTGTAAAATTGAGGCTTTAATGTAGCAGCAACAAAAATAACTACCCACTAAATTTACACTGTATAAATTAAGTGTGGTTGGGAGAAAAAGATTGGATATTTATCAGAAAAAATTGTATATATATTCCATTGTAGCTCAGAAAACAATGTCTTCTGTACTTAGCTTCTACACTTCTACTGTAAAATAACATGCATGATGATAATGCCAGAGAAACAATAGCAACATAGAAAAAAGGAACACATAAATCATCCTCAGGCTCTCATAATCACAGTTGTCTCAGATAAACTGATTAGGAAGCTTCCTGCAGATACTACATTCTTGGATCACTTTCTTCTGCTGACAGGAATTACCCGTATGCAGCGCTGGGAACGAGCCAAATTTTTAGGACTCAATCCCCCTACAACTGTGCAGGATTTGCTCCTGAAGTATAATAAGGACCCTTTTGTTATATATAGGTCAGTATATTTTATGTTTATACACTTTTCAGTCCATTGGTGTTTTTTTTTTTTTTAAACAATCCATCAGGAAGAACAAGATTTTGAAAAATAGCATGGATTATTGAGTTAAATTCTGGTGTTACATTTTTTGTGAATAGGCCGTAACTACCTCTCTAAAGAAAAGACTCAGATTCTAGAAAAGTGAGAGGTATAAGGTAAACCAGAAGAAAATTTCCAGCCATTCACTTTGAGAATATAGAATTTATGCAGGAATAAGGCCACGATTCTTTCCTTGAAGCTCAAGTATCCGTGGCTTGTATTATACTAGAGTTGTTAGTAACAAAGACATATGCTGACTTCATGAGAAAAACATCAGTTAGGATCAGCAAGGATAGAAGTCAGAACAAAAGCATTCAGAATGTTCAGGTGTGTCTTTTCTTCAAGACAACATCTACCACAAGCAATGTGAAATGTATTCAAGCACGGAAGCTTAATTTCTTCCGTATTTATAGCCTTAACATTAATATTTAGAGTATTTAGAGCAGTGAAACAAACCCATGACACACGTGTCAAAGGTGACATGATGCATTTTGGCTGACAAACCAGCATCACCAACAACTGTTCTTGAAAGCATGCTCCATTCTGACACAATTTTAGGAGCTTGTGGAGGCTGCATGAGAATCAATGTGCTCTCACACAGCTGCCGAACGCTTAAAAAATGACTGTTGTATTTCAGTTTTTGTAATTATTTAATGTTTCTTTGTATAATATATAGTCCCACATGAATGGACTATATTTTAATAAATAAATAAATAATATAAAGAAGTGTTTCTCTTTTGTTTGAGGAGCAATGACCTACCAGCAGAGTCAAAGTTATTTTCCAAATTTTTGATACAGAGAGCCCAAAAAGATCACCACCGCTGCTTTAGAGCTATATGTAACCTTTACAAAGCTAAAGAGATTAAAAATGGAGCCTTCCATCCAAGTACTGATTGGCTCCTAAATTTTCTTAGCTGCTTCAGTGCTATAGGAGTAAGTGTAATATCACTACCCAACACTAAGGTGGTGATGAGAATTTCAAGAGGTCCCAGATATGGTCTCCCTCCTCCTCTGCTTTGGCCAAGAACATGCTAGCTTTGAAAGTTGAGAGCTGTGGGACAAGAGCTGAGTCCACATGGAAAATCTGCTTTAAGTTGACCATAAAATTGTGTCTGCCACAAAGGATGCTGTTGTGTCACAGAAGACAGCCAAGCCCATTCCAGCTGCTTGGCAAGGGGATGGAGTGGCCATGTGAAAAGTCAACCCTGACAGTAACCATGCTCCAAATTTCTTTCTTGTAGCTTGTGGCATGAATATACCCTCTGAAAAGAACAACTGTTGCTACCTGA